GAGGAGGAGGAGGAGGAGGAGGAGGTGGAGGAGGTGGACTCGAGCCTCGGGAGCTGGATGGGTGGAGGGGCTCTACGAGGTCGCGGGGCCGAGGCCCGCGACCCCGAGGCCGAGCACAATCTCGCTCGGCCCTGATCTGCCTTGAGCCATCGGGGTTCCTCTCGGTAGCGAGAGCGAGGGGGGCAAGCGGGAAGGAGGAGGAGGCCCTCCCAGAAGGCGGCTGCGCTCCTCGGGGGCCGCCCTCCGGCCTTCCGAGGTGTGTTCCGTGTGTGTGTGTGTGTGTGTGTGTGTGTGTGTCTTCGGGGAGGGCTTAGAGGATCCGGCTTGAATAAGGAACACTTACTTTTGAAAGGGGGCTCGGTCGTTCCTTTGGTTTGCATGCGTTCCGCTACCTTTTTGGCGGCGAGCCCCCTTGGTGTTCCTTCGGACTCCGTAGACGCACTTGGAACAAAAGGGGCTCCGTTCCGTATTTATCGCTCCTCGGGTCAGGCCGAATATTGCAAAACATCTTTCAGAATGCCCGAAGTCGTCCGAGCCTTCTGACGGGGCATGCCCGCTCTCTCGCTTCCTTCCTGGCCGAGCCGCCGCTCCTCTTTCCTGGCATTCGCCGTCCCTCGGCGAGGCGCGCCTCCGCAGAAGGCAAAGGGGTGCCGACGCCACCCGCGGCGGGCGTCGTTCCTGGCTGCCCTCGGCGGCGGGCGCCGTGCCAGCGCCACCCTCCGACGGCATCCCATCGTGAGCATGCAACGGCTCCCTCCGAGGAGGTGCTAAAGGGGAGGAGGAGGAGTAAGGAAGGAAGGAAGGCGAGGGTGGTTCAGGACGACGAGGCGGAGATGGCGACGAGGGAGTGCGAGACGGAGGGAGGAGGGAGGAGGAGGAGGAGGAGGAGGAGGAGGAGGAGGAGGAGGAGAACGAAGTGGCGGAGTAGAAGGAAAAGCAGGAGGAGGAGGACGAGGACGACGCGGAGAAGGAGGACAATGGTTGAGGAGGAGGAGGAGGAGGAGGACGAGGATACGGGGGACAAGGGATGATGAGGAGGAGAGGTGGGTGGAGGAGGAGGAGGAGGAGGAATAGGGAAACGTCACTGAACCTCGCTGTTGCGGATAAACAATGTGCATCCGCATCGGCATCAGTGCGAAACATTTGCAAGAAGGCCTAGAACGGAGAGGGGAGGCGTAGGAGGAGGAGCTGCGGGCCACGCCGCAGAAAAGAATGAGAGGTGGAGGAGGAGGAGCGGGAGGAAGTACACAGGCGAGGAGGGGAGCGAGGGGTGGCCGTGGCGCCGCAGTTGGAAAACATCGGACCGGCGGGGGGCCGCGGGCCGGAGGAGAGGAAGGCGGGCGAGGAGGAAGATTCAGGCCGAGGAGGGGGGGGAGGGCGAGGAACGAGGGGGAGGAGGGGAGGAGGGGGAGGAGGAGGAGGAGGAGGAGGAGTGAGGAGGAGGTGGAGGGAGGTAGGTAGGAGGAGGTAGGAGGAGGAGGTGGGAGGTGAGGAGGAGGAGGAGGAGGAGGTGGAGGAGGAGGAGGAGGAGGAGGAGGAGAGAGTGGAGGAGGGAGGAGGAGGAGGAGGAGAGGAGGAGGAGGAGGAGGAGGAGGAGGAGGAGGAGGAGGAGGAGGAGGAGGTGGAGGAGGAGAGGAGGAGGAGTGAGGAGGAGGAGGAGGAGGAGGAGGAGGAGGGGGAGGGGAGGGAGGAGGAGGAGGGGAGACGTGAGGAGAGGAGGAGGTGGAGGAGGACAGGAGGAGGAGGAGGAGGAGTGAGGTGGGAGGAGGAGGATGGAGGTTGGAGGAGGAGGAGGAGGAGGAGGAGGAGGAGTGTGGAGGAGGAGGAGGAGGGAGGAGGGAGGAGGGGATGGTGGAGGAGGAGGAGGAGGGAGGAGGAGGAGGAGAAGGAGGAGGAGGAGGAGAAGGGAGGAGGAGGAGGGCTGAGGAGGACGAGGGAGAAGGAGGACGAGGAGGGCGAGGAGGAGGCTCGCGAGGGCCATGCCGTCCCCAGCCGGGCCCCCGACGCGCGCGGGCCCCGCGGACCGGCCTCGAGCTCTGAGACCGCGGAGAGGGGCGATGTCTGGATCGTTGTAATTCAGGAGGGGGGAGGAAAAGCAGACACAATTAATCGACGATTCCCCAGAAAACATGGGAACAGATGGGAAGTGGGGGGGAGACAAAAACCCAGAAGATATGGGAAATGATGGGGAACCCTGTTATTTGTTTGTATTTATATATATATATATATATATATATATATATGTGTGTGTGTGTGTCCCAGGGCCCCTTCAGTAACAGTTGCTTCTCTGCGCCAAGTGAGCCATAGCATGGTCGCGGCATGTCGAGCTCATGCAGCACGCGCAGCATCTTCTTGCTAGCAGAAACAGCAGTCAGCTCCTCGGCCCAGGCCCGCCTCATTCTTTAGAGCCGGGCAGCAAGCGGTCCAGAGAGCTTTGGGCGACAGGATGCAGCAACAAGACAGGCTCACCAAAGAAAACAGAGGTACCGTGTCCCATCAAAGTAACCAGCTGCGCGAGAGGCACGAGAAGTGGTACAAAAAGGAGTGGTGGTAGAGCCCAGCAGACCACGCAGTGCTGGTAGCCCTTGCACCGCGCGCGCGGGAGAGGCCAACAGTGTCAGCAGGCAGTGTGCACCACCCGTCATCAGCTAGAGGCTCTGGAAGCCAGGAAGCCAGGAAGCAGTGGGAGCAAACAAAGGCCAGCAGTGGCGGCAGAAACGACGGCAGTGGCCCGAGCGTTGCGAGAAGAGGCGGCAGCGGGCGCCAGTGGAAGCCAGGGCAACGTGCGACCAGAGGCGACAGCGGCAGGCAGTGGTAATATTTGTAGTGCAGCGGCAGCTACCAGCCGCGAGCCTGGCGTCAACGTCTGCGAGGGTGGCAACACGAAGTACGAGCCTGACGTCATCGGTCACGAGGGCGGCGACGTGCAGCAGGAGCCCGACGCCATCAGCTGCGAGGGTGGCGCAGAAGAGAAGCACGAGCCCGGTACCATCAGCTACGAGGGCGGCACAGCGAAACATTGGCCCCGTGCTATCCGCTACGAGGATGGCGTCGCGAAGCCGAGCCCGTCGTCGACAGCTACGAGGGAGGGCGCGGAGCACGAGCACAACGTCGTCAGCTACGGGGGGGGTCACACGAAGCACGAACCCGACGCCATCAGCTACGAGGGTGGCGTCGCGAAGCAGGAGCCAAACGCCATCAGCTACGCGGGAAGCGACATGAAGCACAAGCCTATTGCGGCAAACGGCGGCGGGGATGAGGGTGAGGAGAAAAACGGGTGCCTGACGCTATCAACTACGTGCTCGGAACAGCGCGGAATTCAGACAGACACGTCATCAGCTACAGGCTCGGCTTGGTGCGCGAGAGAAGGAGACGAAGCCAAGCCAGGCCTACCCCACGACCCCCCCCTCCAGGCCGGGCCCAGGGTGGAGGAGGAAGATGCATAACCAGGCCCACCCCGCGACCCCTCTCGCAATGAGGGACCAGGGCGGAAGCGCGGGCGCTCTCCAGGCAGCGACCGCCCCCAGGCGGTGGCGGCAGAAACTGGGTCCGCACATGATGTCATCAGCTGCAAGCTTAGCACGTCGTTGCTGCAACATGTCGTGGCAAACGGAAAGCCGCGGTCGTGCCATGTGCAGCGCCTTGCAGGTTTCTACGTTGCCCGCTACGCATACGTACTCGGTCGTCTCGGCTACGCGGACATCACGAGGAGCGGACGGGACGTGGAGGAGTTGCAGATGCTGAAGGGACGAGATAGCGACGCGGAGGACAGCTACGACGACAGGGCTGGGGACAACGACCTGCACGATTCTGTCGTGCAGGTTGGTAGCTCCTTGGTTAGAGGCAATGCCACACAGAGGCCCAGGCCCGATCCGCGTCCGACGCCTGAAATTTGGCAGCCAAGCACGGGCACCGAGCCATCGTCCAGCTGCTCATCGCCGGCATCAAGAAGACTCATACATTTTCTTCTGGTGCAGTTTTGGTTGGGTGCGCGCTCGAAGAGATGAGTCCAGTAGCAGACGCAGCCCCGGCGCGGCGGGGGAGCAAAAGGCTGGCAATGGCAGCGGGCAGTGGGGCGACCAGTTTTGCGAAAACGTCATCAGCTACAGGCTATACCTGTGGCGTACCAGAAGGAACCGAAGGTGGCGACCAGGGGTATTTTTGATGACCAGGCCTACGTCGGCAACACATCATACGATGCCCATTGCCGCGACCTGAGAGACCACATGAAACAGGTGGGCACTGCGAAGTACTGCAGAGCGCGCGCCGAGGACGGCACTGTCTACGGCAGATCGCTGGGGACCAGTTCTCGGAGGACCTCGATCCCCAACATGGCTCCATTGTGCGATGCGCTTTGGGAGAGGAGGATGTGACGGCTGGGCAGGTGCATGAGCAGGAGGAATGGAGCACGATGAAGAGGGATGATGTGGAACAGGATCAGCAGCAGGTGCATGAGGAGGAGAGGGAGGAGGAGCAGCAGCAGCAGCAGGAGGATTAGTTGAAGGTGGGGGAGAGGACGGCGAGGAAAGAGTCGGATCCAGAAGTGGCCCGCGCTGCTGCGAGGGCGACTCTCTGACCGACGGGAGCAAAATACCGACCCCGAAATGTGGCCAACGCTGCAGCTGTGGCACCATTTGAGAAAGCCCGACAAAGCTCCGAACGAAACCGCATAGACGCAACCCAAGCAATACATCCCGTGTGCCCTGACAGTGCCAGGGGAGAGGAGAGTGGTACCCATCAGATGGTGTGTTAGTGGAGAGTGCGACGCAGGACGACAGGAAGAGAGAGGGAGGACAGAGGCGGAACGAGGACGGAGGATGAGAGATGATGAAAGGGAGGGAAGGGGAAGCAGGCGATGAGGAGGGGGAGGAGCAATGGCCCTGACGAAAACTGGTTCTTACTGCTCTTCCTAATGAATCGGTTGGGTCCGGCGTGGTTTCACCACGTCGCCCGATGCCGCCTCGTTGCCACCAGGTGCGCAGGGTGGGCCCAGCGAGGTTTCGCCACGCTGCTGGCTCGTTGCCGCCTCGTGCGGTGGGTGGGCCCCACAGGGTTTCGACACCTTGCCGCCCGTTGCCGCCTCATTGCCGCCTCGTTCTTGCCTCTTGCGCTGAGTAAGGCCGGCGACGTTTCGCCACGTTGCCGCGCGTTGCTGCCTCGTGCGCCGGGTGGGTCCAGCGAGGTTTCGCCAAGCTGCTTCCCGTTGCTAGATCGTTGCCTCCTCGCGCGTTGGGTGGGTCCTGCGAGGTTTCGCCACGTTTCCGCCCGTTGCCGTTTCGTTGCCGCCTCGTTGCCGCCTCGTGCGCTGGGTCGGTCACGCAAGGTTCCGCCAGGTTGGCGCGCCTAGCAGCCTCGTTGCCACCTCGAGCGTCGGATGGGTCCTGCGAGGTTTCGTCACGTTGCCGCCCGTGGCCGCCTGGTTTCCGCCTCGTGCGCTTGGTGGGCGTTGCGAAGTTTAGCCGCGTTGCCGTCCCATCGCCTCGTCGCCGCCTCGTGCGTTTGGTGGGTCTGGCGAAGTCTTGCCACGCTGCCGCCCGCTACCGCCGCCTGGTTGCCGCCTCGTGCGCTTGCTTTGTCCAGCGAGGTTTCGCCGCGCTGCCGCCCGTTACCGCCGCCTGGCTGCCGCATCGTTGCCGCCTCGTTGCCGCTTCGGTGCCGCCTCGTTGCCGCCGTGTGCGCGGGGTGGGTCCGGCGAGGTCTCGCCACGCTGCCGCCCGCCAGCGCCCCGTTGCCGCCCCGTGCGCTGGGTGAGTCCGGCGAGGTTCCGCCACGCTGCCGCCCATGGCCGCCTGGTCGCCGCCTCGTGCGAAGGGTGAGTCTGGCGACGTCTCGCCACGTTCCGCCCACTGCCGCGTTATTGCCGACTTGTAGCCTGCACCACGCAGCTCACACCACGGAGCCTGCACCACGTAGCTTGCACATCCCACGGGCAGTGACTGACTGCCTGGGGTCCACGCTGGCTGCTGCTCTAGGTCAGGCAAGCAGGCCACTGCGCCCGCGGCCAGAGGAGGACGACCATGTGGATGAGGATCCTAGTAGTAGCAGGAAGTGGAGGAGGAGAAGGAGGAGGTGAGGATAGGGGAGAAGGAGGAGGATAGAAGCATGACAAGGAGGAGAAGGAGGAGGAGGGGGCTGGGAGGAGAAGGGGTGATAAATGATGGAGGAGGGGGAGGAGGAGGAAGGAGGAGGGGAAAGGGAGATGAGGAGGAAGGTACTGAGCAGGAGAGGGCGAGGAGGAGGAGGAGGAGTGCAGGAGGAGAAGCGTTTCGGGGATGTCAGCTACGACGATTTCCAACAGCGCGCAGCTTGCGATCTTCCAGCATCCGCGGCCTGAGTCCGTCCGTCTTGCCCGTCGCACACCGTGGATCGGACGGACGGGTGTCCGGCGTCTGCCCCGCGCATGGCGAGAGCCGGAGGAGGAGACATATGAGCAGGATCAGGATGTCAAGCAGTGGCGAGGCGTCCTGGCTAGCCTATAGGCCTACCAAATACTGCTCCAAGAACCGTTTGCTGGCTTCCACGAAGTGTTCTTAGGACCTTTCTGGCTGGGACTGTCCTGTTTCAACACGTCGGGTTTATGTTCTGAGAACATTGCTTTTGTCCTTGGAACAATTTTGGGTTCTATAGGAATGCTGGAACGGTCGGTCCCTGCCCAAGGACAAGCGAAGGAGGAGGAGGAGGAGGAGGAGGAGGTTGGGGAGGAGGAGGAGGAGGCGGAGGAGGAGGAGGAGGAGGAGGAGGAGGGCTCCCTGCGCCTGCTCGGTGTGCTTCCTCGCCGCCTGGCTGCCGGCCAGGGAGGAGAGGTGCGGTGCAGGGGCATCGGTCGTGGGTGACAAATTTGCCCGCAGCGCAAGATTTGACGGGGGAGCCGGAGGGGGGGATCGACGGAGGAGTATAAGATGAGAGGACGAGGAGGAGGAGGAGGAGAAGGAGGGGGAGGGGAGGAGGAGGAGGAGAAGAAGGAGGAGGGGGAGGGGGCGGGGAAGGAGGAAGAGGAGGAGGAGGAGGATTGTAGTGTAGCGCTGATGCCCTGGAGGGTAGTCATAACCATGTAAAGTCTGAGGGGGCCACAAGGGCTCTTCCACCCTTGAAACGGTGCCCCAAGGTACAGGGACCGTTGCAGGCATGTGGTATGAGTGCCAACGTACCACTAGTCAGCTGGGCCAAGCGTGATATACTTTGATCATGTTTTCTCAGTTTGCGCGCCTAAGAAGTTGGAGCGTATCTGCACACGCCGGAGGCGGTTGTGTTTGAGAGGAGGAGGAGGCGGAGGCGGAGGAGGAGGAGGAGGAGGAGGAGGAGGAGGAGGAGGAGGCGGAGGAGGAGGAGGAGGAGGAGGAGGAGGAGGGGTGGGGCGCAGAAGGAGACCCAGAGGGAGGGGGATGAGGGTGGCGGAACGAGGACGGAAGGAGGGGGATGTGGAGGGGTGGGCCGAGGAGGAGCGCGCCACGTGTGATGTCCGAGTCTGTGCCTCCCATCCCTTTTTATGACGCTGTTGCTCTATGTCTGCAGACGCGTGTCGTGGCTGACCAGGAGCCCCAAACAGGAACAGACGTGGCTTGCGCAGCTGGAAAAAGTGGAGCTGCATACACAGGAGGAGGAGGAGGAGGAGCAGGAGAAGGAGGAGGAGGCGGGTAAGCAGGAGGATGAGCAGTATGAGAACGAGAAAGATGTGGAAGGAGGACGACGAGAACGAACGGCAGCAGCAGGAATTGGAGAGGAATGAGCGGGAGGAGCAGGAGGACAACGGGAAGGCAAATGAGGGGAAATGAGGGGGGCGACAACGATGAAAAAGGGTTCGGATCCAGAATAGTGGTTCGCGCTGAGACGAGAGCGCCATTCTAGACGACGGGAGCAAAGCGCCGACCTGAAAATGAGGCCCACGTTGCAGCGGGAGCACCATTTCGAAACACCAAAACATCGGAATGTGGGACACAAAAACACAAAAACAAGACAAAACACTTGTGCCCCATCCTGTGCGCAAAGAACAGTACGCAGAGAGAATCGGCGATCGTCGGGACGGAGTCAGGGGAGAGGGGAGAGTAGCATTCATGCTGTGCATTTGTAGAGGGAGGCGGTAGGAGAAGGACGGAGGAGGAGCTGGAGGAGCTGGAGAAGGGAAACGGTAGGAGGAGGAGGAGGAGGAGGAGGAGGAGGAGAGGAAGAGGAGGAAGAAGGAGGAGACGGGAGGGTGGAGGGAAGAGGAGGAGGAGGTGGAGGAGGGAGAAGGGAGGGCTCCTCCGCGGCCGACCGCTCCCTGCTCGTCCCGCGGAGAGGCCAGCCCACGACGCCGCTGAAGGAGGGCGAGCCGACGAACATGACGAGGAGGGGAGGGGGGAGGGGGGCAGGTGCACGGGGAGGAGGTGGAGGAGGAGGAGGAGGAGGGAGGAGGAGGAGGAGTGAGGAGGAGGAGGAGGAGGGAGGAGGAGGTGGAGGAGAGAGGAGGAGGAGGAGGAGGTGGAGGAGGGGGAGGAGGACAAGCTAGGTGCGCTCGCGTCATATCTGACGTCCTACCCCTCCCTCCCATCCCTTACCATGGTGCTGATTTTCTCTATCCGCGGACGCGTGTCGTAGCGGACCTGTGGCTCCGCGCGCGCGTGCGTAACTAGTGGGTGGTGGTGCGCGTGCGTGCGTGCGTGCGTGTGTGCGTGGTTGTGGTGGTGGTGGTGGTGGTGGTGGTGGTGGTGGTGGTGGTGGTGGTGCTGGTGCTGGTGCTGGTGGTGGTGTTGGTGCTGGTGCTGGTGCTGGTGCTGATGCTGGTGCTGGTGCTGGTGGTGGTGGTGGTGGTGGTGGTGGTGGTGGTGGTGGTGGTGGTGGTGGT